CCTTCCTTCCTTCCTTCCTTCCTTCCTTCCTTCCTTCCTTCCTTCCTTCCTTCCTTCCTTCCTTCTTTCTTCCTCCCTCCCTCTGTCTCCCTTTTCTTTCACAGCATCTACTGCTCACTTCAACTGGTTCAAGAGCCTAACTGTCCCTAAGTAGGAAGTATCTTCTTTTTTAAAAAAAACAAAAAACCCAAACATCTGCCACACGCTAAGCAAAGAACAACCACCGAAATTGAGCAAAGAACGAGACAGGAAAATGGGCCCATTGCTACCACCCAATCCTGGTTGAACAGCAGATGCCAAACACCCGGCTTCTTTCAGTAATCCATGACCTGGTTTTGCAAGGCTACACAGGCAATTCCTTCCACCTGTGCAAACAGGTTCAGCAGCCACCCATGTCCCCCTGATCAGGATGTGGAGGGAAAAAACATCGTAATACAACCCAGGGAGTGTTGCATCTTTGCAATCGAACATTGCCTGCAATTGCAATAAATATATCTTGCCCATTTGAACATCCACTTTCATGTCCCTCCTTTAATCCAAGTTGCTAAGAAGATGCCAACTTGTTAAGAGAAGCTTAGCAATATATATATCTATATATATCTGCTCACCTCCAATGCGTTCTTCAGTCCTCCTCCTTTGTCCGGAGATCTGACCGATCGATGTTCAAGCACTACATTGTGGATACTTATAGTCCTTCCCGTGTGCCAGGCGAGTAAGTCATTGGTCACCCACTTTGACGTTAGCTGCATCTTAAACTCGGTGGAAGGTCTTTTGAGTCTCCAGGATGCTGTGCTGAGGTTGGGACTTTTCCAGCCGTTTGTCTTTTGACTCTCTTGATCTTGCAAAGACTTAATGAAAAAGCCTTATAAAATATTTAGTATCAATTGGTCTCCGCCAGCAAGCGGCCTAGATTAAGCTTGCAAGCTAAGCAAGATCGGCCATGGGGAAAATTTGGACGGGATGATAGCAATTGCATTTACAGCCCTCTCTAAGCAGTTTACAGAGTCAGCCTCTTGCCCCCAACAATATGGGTCCTCATTTGACCCACCTCGGAAGGAGGGATGGCTGAGTCAACTTGGAGCAGGTCAGGATCAAACTGCCAGCAGTGGGCAGAATCAGCCTCCAATAGTGCACTCTAACCACTGCACCACAAGGAAGGAAGGAAGGAACGGAGGGAGGAATTGCAATAGCACTTATATACTGCTTCAGAGTGCTCGTATTTTAAAGAGCCAGCCTCTTTCCCCCAAAAATCTGGGTCCTCATTTGACCCACCTCGGAAGGAGGGAAGGCTGAGTCAACCTGGAGCCTGCTGGGATTCAAACTGCCAAATTGCAGGCAGCTGGCTGCAGCAGAAGTAGCTTGCAGTACTGCACTCTAACCACTGCACCACAGAGGCTCCATATAAGTCTATGTGCTATTGCTATAGCTATTGCTATTGCTATTGCTATTCTATTCTATTCTATTCTACTCTACTCTACTCTACTCTACTCTACTCTACTCTACTCTACTCTATTCTATTCCTTCCAATATTTATTCTATTCTATTCTATTCTATTCTATTCTATTCTATTCTATTCTATTCTATTCTCTTCTATTCCTTCCAATATTTATTCTATTCTATTCTATTCTATTCTATTCTATTCTACTCTACTCTACTCTATTCTATTCCTTCCAATATTTATTCTATTCTATTCTATTCTATTCTATTCTATTCTACTCTACTCTACTCTATTCTATTTCTTCCAATATTTATTCTGTTCTATTCTATTCTATTCTATTCTATTCTATTCTATTCTATTCTATTCTATTCTATTCTATTCTATTCCTTCCAATATTTATTCTATTCTATTCTATTCTATTCTATTCTATTCTATTCTATTCTATTCTATATAGCTAGATAGGTGATAGATAAGATAGGTGATAGATAAGATAGATGATAGATAGATAGATAGATAGATAGATAGATAGATAGATAGATAGAT